TTTAGTATATTGCTATTGCTTTCTTCATGACTTATACATGTTCCTGTAACTATGAGAAATATGCAACTCCCGTTTACCGGAGGAACACTTTGGGTACTACCAAACGTCACAATGTAACTGGTTGATTATAAAGGAGTACTACAGGTGTCTCCGAAGGTACATGTTGAGTTGGCGTATTTCGAGATTAGGTTTTGTCACTCCGATTGTCGGAGAGGTATCTCTAGGCCCTCTCGGTAATGCACATCTTTATAAGCCTTGCAAGCAATGTGACTAAATGAGTTGGTTACGGAATGATGCATTACGAAACGAGTAAAGAGACTTGCTGGTAACGAGATTGAACTAGGTATAGGATACCGACGATCAAATCTCGGGCAAGTAACATACCGATGACAAAGGGAACAACATATGTTGTTATGCGGTTTGACCGATAAAGATCTTCGTAGAATATGTAGGAACCAATATGGGCATCCAGGTTCCGCTATTGGTTATTGACCGAGAATAGTTCTAGGTTATGTCTACATAGTTCTCGAACCCGTAGGGTCCGCACGCTTAACGTTACGATGACAGTTTTATTATGAGTTTATAAGTTTTGATGTACTGAAGTTTGTTCGGAGTCCCGGATGTGATCACGGACGTAACGAGGAGTCTCGAAATGGTCGAGACATAAAGATCGATATATTGGAAGCCTATATCTGGACATCGGAATCGTTCCGGGTGAAATCGGCATTTTACCGGAGTATCGGGAGGTTACCGGAACCCCCCGGGGGGTTATTGGGCCTACATGGGCCTCGAAGGAGAAGAGGGAAGGAGGCAGGAGGGGGCCGCGCGCCCCTCCCCTTCCTAGTCCGAATAGGACAAAGGAAGGGGGGCGACGCCCCCCCTTTCCTTCCCCTCTTCCTCCTCTTTCCCCCCTTCTCCTATTCCAACTAGGAAAGAAGGGAGTCCTACTCCCGATGGGAGTAGGACTCCCCCCTTGGCTCGCCCTCCTTGGCCGGCCGCCTCCTCCCCCTGGCTCCTTTATATACGGGGGCGGGGGGGCACCCCATAGACACAAGTTGATCTACAGATCGTTCCTTAGCCGTGTGCGGTGCCCCCCTCCACCATATTCCACCTCGGTCATATCGTCGCGGAGTTTAGGCGAAGCCCTGCGCCGGTAGAGCATCATCATCGTCACCACGCCGTCGTGCTGACGGAACTCATCCCCGAAGCTTTGCTGGATCGGAGCCCGGGGATCGTCATCGAGCTGAACGTGTGCTGAACTCGGAGGTGCCGTACGTTCGGTACTTGGATCGATCGGATCGTGAAGACGTACGACTACATCAACTGCGTTGTCATAACGCTTCCGCTTACGGTCTACGAGGGTACGTGGACAACACTCTCTCCTCTCGTTGATATGCCATCACCATGATCTTGCGTGTACGTAGGAATTTTTTTGAAATTACTATGTTCCCCAATAGGCTGCCCCAAAAACGCATCTAGGGTGGCGGCCAAGGGGGGGAGAGAGGGAAACTTGCCCCCCAAGCAAGGTGGAGGCGCCCCCTCCCCAAACCCTAGGCGCCTTGGGCCCTGGTGGGGGAGGGGGGGGGGCGCACCAGCCCACCTGGGGCTGGTCCCCTCCCACACTTGGCCCATGCAGCCCTCTGGGGCCGGTGGGCCCACTTGGTGGACCCCCGGGACCCTCTCGGTGGTCCCGGTACATTACCGATAACACCCGAAACTTTTCCGGTGACCAAAACAGGACTTCCCATATATAAATCTTTACCTCCGGACCATTCCGGAACTCCTAGTGACGTCCGGGATCTCATCCGGGACTCCGAACAACATTCGGTAACCACATACAAACTTCCTTTATAACCCTAGCGTCATCGAACCTTAAGTGTGTAGACCCTACGGGTTCGGGAACCATGCAGACATGACCGAGACGTTCTCCGGTCAATAACCAACAGCGGGATCTGGATACCCATGTTGGCTCCCACATGTTCCACGATGATCTCATCGGATGAACCACGATGTCGAGGATTCGATCAATCCCGTATACAATTCCCTTTGTCTAGCGGTATTGTACTTGCCCGAGATTCGATCGTCGGTATGCCGATACCTTGTTCAATCTCATTACCGGCAAGTCTCTTTACTCGTTCCGTAACACATCATCCCGTGATCAACCCCTTGGTCACATTGTGCACATTATGATGATGTCCTACCGAGTGGGCCCAAAGATACCTCTCCGTCAACCGGAGTGACAAATCCCAGTCTCGATTCGTGCCAACCCAACAGACACTTTTGGAGATACCCGTAGTGCACCTTTATAGCCACCCAGTTACGTTGTGATGTTTGGTACACCCAAAGCATTCCTACGGTATCCGGGAGATGCACAATCTCATGGTCTAAGGAAATGATACTTGACATTAGAAAAGCTTTAGCATACGAACTACACGATCTTTGTGCTAGGCTTAGGATTGGGTCTTGTCCATCACATCATTCTCCTAATGATGTGATCCCGTTATCAACGACATCCAATGTCCATGGTCAGGAAACTGTAACCATCTATTGATCAACGAGCTAGTCAACTAGAGGCTTACTAGGGACATGGTGTTGTCTATGAACCCACACATGTATCTGAGTTTCCTATTAATACAATTATAGCATGGATAATAAACGATTATCATGAACAAGGAAATATAATAATAACTAATTTATTATTGCCTCTAGGGCATATTTCCAACAATTGCAGCCGTCTGAAGCTTCCACGCGCCACCGCTTGGAACGTCGCCGCCCTGCCAAAACTTCACCCGAAAGCCATTGTGCCATCGTCGTCCGCCTCCTCTCCCACCGCCGTTGTCGTCGCCTCACCCGCACCGTCCACCGCCACCACTCGCGCTTGCCGCTGCCTCGGTTGTGCCTCTCGTCGTTGTCGTCCACACCCATGGCCGTCTCACTCGTGTCGGAAGCGCCGCATCCGCACTCACTGCCACACCATGCCCCTCGCCAACAGCCACCCCATAATCGTTCGTGTCACTGACAAGCGGGTCATGGGGATTACCTCTTTTTGTTTAATTGTAAAATAAAATAAAAATGCAGTCAGGGGAAGAAGATTAGGGGAACCGACAAAAGTTGCTTTCGAAAAACTTCCCCTAACTTTCTTGGGAAGGCCAAAAAACCACTTTTGCTGGATGTTTTTAGGGGGGCTGTTGGAGTTTCTTAGGGCCAGTTATTTTGGCGGCTTAAAAAATAAGCCGCTTCCTCCCCAGCTTTTTCCATAAGATGTCTCTCTTATTCATTGGGGCTTTTAAACTAGTTATGGGATACTAATTTAGAAGCCTCACCAAATTTAAGAAGCAGCTTATTTTTTTAAGCTGGGAAGATGCAACTTATTTTTTAAGCCGCCCAAAAGAAGTGGCCCTTAGTCACTTGCATGGCAACATCGTCGGGTTGTACTGTCTTAACATCAGTTGCCTCACTGAGGGTCTCTCTAAGACTAGGGAGCATGCGTCATTATTTGAGGACAACAATGCGCCCCTCAATCACCTCGGACCTCCAAACTTCAGTTTGGACTCGGGTTATGAGTTATGACTTGTATGCTCCGACAGCAGAGTGAACAGATGGCTAAGAAAAGTCGACCTCCACATGAAAAAAAAACTAGTGTGCAACATGTTGAGATCCAAAGGTCGTCCTAGATCCCTTATCCCATGAAAAAAGTGCAACTGATTTTTTGGTTGTAATCTACAAGAGCATGCTAGAATATAAGAAAGTCAGACTCAAATGTTTCTATTAACTACAAGATCATGTCTCGAGATGAATGCAATAAAGTAGGACTTATATATTCCTATGTTGTGAGAATCAACTCCACCTACTCAAGATTTCATGTGAGAATCCAACAGGATTCTTATGAGATTGTGCCAATGAAAAATAATCCCAAATTCCAGTGGTAAGGGTACCCACCCGAAGAGGAAAGCTTTTACGGGTACAAATGGATCATATCACCGGCCCGGGTATCTAGGGGCTTTCGAGTCATGCGCCGCGTCGGAGTTGCCACTCTTAAGGGATAAGAACATTAGCTCCATTTCAAAGAATTAATGGTTGCAGGAGAGTTGTTTCCTTGCAATTACAAAATCGAATGGTCGTATCCCTTGAATACAAGATAGGTAGGGGCGTAGTGCTATCAGCCATCTGGGTCCTGAACCTATCAACCGTGTTACCATCATCGTCGATGAGACCCCTTCGGGCATCAACCCCTCCCTATAGTCTTCAAACAACATCCAGATGGAATGAATCTCTTTAGTGATCCTTCACTGACCAAGATGACCTACCGGGCACCCTCCATCCCAGTCATGATGGTCGTCAAATTCTCCAGCATGAGGAAGCAAGTGCGGCCAAAGGGTACCGTAACCGTGCAAGGCAAAGTGAGAGAGGTTGACCTCTCTCGACCGGCTCAGTTCATAAGGATCGGGTGGCTCTATAATCCCGTCGTGAACATGAGCTCCTAGCATTCCCTAGGTTCCTGGATGTTTTTGCTTAGAGCGTTATTGGCATGACGTGGTTAGGGAAATGTGCAAAAGATAGAAAAACACATCTATCATTCGCCCATTTTTCTTATGTCACTCTAAAAATTGGCATCACACTTCTCTCACTCTTACCGTTTTAGTGTATCACAAAAGTCGGTCCGAGTGGCAAGATCGAAATTTTCGGAGGGTAAATTAATTTTGTTTATGCCACTATAACAAGGCTAGAGTGGCAAAAGTGAAATGTCAATGCTTTTAGCTCTAGTACCTCTTGTGTTTGGGATGATATCCCTGACTTTATTTCATCTTCCCTTGTAAATGATCTTTCCATTATTTGATGAACAAAGTCTCTTGATGTAAAAAATGGCATAAGAAAATTTGGAAAAAAAAACCTAGAGTGGCAAAAACAAAACCCTCAAAAAAATGAATCTCCTAATAATTCCTGGCCCTACTCCGCACCGAGCTAAACCCTGAGACCGAAAGAGGGGACGAAGCAATTTCATGACCCAAAGGATGCTGCGGTGTGTGTACACCCAGCGGCGGTGGGCGCACCGCCGGGGCGGCTTCGTCACCGGCGGCACCGGATGGTCGCAGAAGGCCCGCCCGGCCGCCGTGATGGGCGCGAAGAAGTCGGAGTGGTGGGCGGTGGACGGCGAGCTGCACGAGATCGGGGAGGGCGTGCCGCACCGCGAGCGCTTCGCCATCCCGCGCGACAACCTCCCGAACCGCCGCCGCAAGCAGATGCGCGAGCAGTTCATGCGCCGCACGCGTCTCGTCCTCAAGGACTCGGTAATCACAGCCGCGCCTGGCAAACATTCTGCGCTTCCCCACTTCTGACCCATTGGCCTGTTGGTAGCTGTTCCTTCAACCCTAGATTTATTTTTTCTGTGGTTAGGCGTCTCTGTATGGTTGGTCGAAATGGGGTGATTGCTCCGAGCGAAACCAAATTCGGTGAATCGTTAGTGGGGTATCCAATTGAAAGTTTGAAACGGGTTCCACTGGAATTTGGTGGCAGCGTCCTCATTTCTCTTCTTTTCTGTCAGAAGACAGGGCGTTCAGGTTTGGTGGAAGCGAATTAACATGGCCTTTCGCTTCACGATTTGGGCTCAAATCAGCTGTGATTGGCTATTTTTGTATTCGTTTATGAATGATTTGGATGCGGTCGGATGGAATGATTTCTGCTGGTTGGTTAGTGCAGTGTTTAGGCAGGATCCATTTATGTTCGTTAGGAATTTGGGATGAATTCCACCAGAATCAACTAAATTTGTTCCTCTTTATTATTAGAGATGATGTGGCCGTTCTGGCAGTCATCATGCACAAGTTTGGAACCATAGTATGTGTTGTTGAATGGATGCAACTTGAGTTATAGAATGAAATGAATGACATGTGGTACTATTGACCAAAACTTTTCAGACTCTTATAGTGGCTTTGTTTTATTCCATAAGAAACAAAGAAATTCTGAAGCACATTAACTTGCTATAATTTAATCTGCTCTTGATAGTTAGATAACATGTTAACTGTGAGGACCACAGTTTTATTAGCGTGCTATCTCAGCGCTATAGCGTTTGGAGGGGCATCATGCTATAGCGCCAATTTAGCGCGCTAACGCTTCGGCCGCTATTTGCCATAGCCCACCATTTAAAAGTTTAGTGAGGACAGGTGCAAACCAAAGAACATGTCGCGTGTAGCAATTTCATGATCAGTACATGCTTTGGATGGGGACAAACAAACTGAACCAATTCTATAACTAAGGGCCAACGCATAACATAGGCTATGCTTAGCTGATTCTGGCGAGTCCTGTGTTAGTAAGTGCTTCCATTGGGGTGTTGCAGCCGCTGGTTCATATAAAATAATTTTCTAACTGTTTGCGGCATGCCGCAACCTTTAGTACAACATTGCTTGGTTTTTTACTAAACTTTGGCTACCACCACACCTCTTTTACTGATTTTGAGGTGTTTCTGTCTTGGAAGTTCATGTGGAGCCTTTTGCTTGGGGACCAACTTCATTGAAAATACTGGCACCTCAGAATTTTGTTTACACAAACAATAAGCCAAACAGTCCCACTGTACTGTGGTTATTTCATGTTTCTGGATCCACGTCATGTTCTTATCTCCATTCTATGTATGTTTGGATGAGATGTTTGTTTGGGATGCAATGTTCAACTTCCTTTTGCTACTCATGTTTCATAGTAGTTGTTAATAGTAAAGGCCTTGTTTGGGATGCCTGATCATGGCTGGGATCCTGACCTAACACCTACCAACCCCCAATTCATTTTGGTTGGGATAGGGCTTGCCAAACAAGACCTAAGTTGAGACTTGAGATATCCAGGATTCAAGAGATAAGGAGCCATTCATATCAATTTCATGTCTGGCTATCCCAAGGCACTTTACAAGATAATCTGTAGTATTTAGACCAAATACCAATCCTAGTTTTGCACTACAACGTTCTCACTTTCCTTTCTCTGATGTTGTCCAATTGGAAAAGATGAGTTGAGTGTTTAATTGTTATGTTTGTTTCGCTAGCTCCTGTAATGGATTACTTTATTCAAGAATCAGCTGCTTAATTACTTTTTTTTACAACGGAGTTAATGCTAGCATCAATAAATGAAGGGGAACTTTTTCCTCCGTTTTCATGTAATAGTTGTTGATACTATGTAGGTACATAACTATATTATGCAAAAGTCCGATCCTATTTGCGATTTCAAATACTTCCATTCACTTTCATATTATCAGACTTAACCATCACAAACTTACAGGAACATGAAACTTGGTGCAAAAAATATATGGAACTGTACCAAGAACTTAGAGAGAACTGGGAACGGTTGTACTGGGATGAAGGTTATTCAAAAAAGATTGCCGAAGATCGCGCTAATTATGACTCTGCTGAAGAAGATGATCTAGACTTCTCACCATACAGGTAACAGACCCTGAACAGTTCTATAATTCTTTTCACACTAATGAGCAAAGTTGGTCCCTCGAATTTGGATAATAGGCCACTTTAGTCCTTGATGTTTCCAATTTGGGTCACTCACAGACCCATGAGATAACATGACGGTGTTCATGCAACATAAGCACCCCTTCTATCCTAGTGCCCAAGTCATATCATCTAATTTATTTGCTCAACTGTCAAAGGAGCCAGAGTTGACATCACTCTATATGTGGCTGATCTTCTTGTTTCCAAGTGTTGCAATATGTTATACATTGCCATGAAAAAGTAATTTTGGAAAATTCAAATATCAGTTCCCATGTTCCATTTATGTGCTGATCATTATTGGATGCCTTGAACAGCAATCTAGGAAAAATGGGTGCTGACGTTGGATGACAATGTGGCTGCCATGTCATCTCACAGATGTGTTCAGGCCAAATTATAATACCATGGACTGAACCTGAACCGGCCCTTTCTAACTTCAGTGATGTAGCTTCTCCAATTAATGAAAAGATGTGCACATCCCCCTCCAGCCCCCAGCTAATAAACTTGAAGAAACAACTTGGACATATATCTTGGAGTAATATTTTAATTGGTTTCTTTCAGGACATAACCCAAGTTTACTTAAATGTAATCATGTGATAAATATCGGGTAGAACTACAAACTTTGCGCTTTCCTCTCATTATTCGATTATTGCAGCTTCCAAATGTTTAGCAATCTTTTCAACTAGTCATGAGTAGATTAGCGTCACAAATATATCTTCATTCAAGTGGTCTCATATATTCAATTTTATATTGCAGCAGGAGAAGGAGCTCCAGTGTAGAGCCAAACAAGGTATTTTATCTACTCTTGTACTGTTGATACATGTTGCATGCCATTTTGTTATGCACAGGAACTTGAATGCTGTTGACTGCATGCTAATACTTTGGGCTTTTCTGATATTCTTCACATACTGCAAACAGTTAGAGTCAGGCTGACAGAACCGTTGGAAAAAAACTGAGTAAACTGTTTCAGCTAATTATTTATGCTTACACCAGAAGCTATTTAAGCTGGCAGCAGGAAAAGTACTTGAGCTGACAGATCTGTTGGAAAAAACCCGAGTAAACTGTTTCAGTGAATTATTTAGGCTTACACCGAAAGCTCTTAAAGCTGGCAGTGGGAAAGCCACCTCTTTTTGCTGGGAATGTGTGGGAAAGCCAACTAGATTTTGTACTTCTTGTTTGGGCATCTTAATTTGGCATACATCAGGTAACATGGAAACAGTATTGTGCTCTGTATGTTGGTCAGTCTTGACCTTGTACTATCTATTCTACTGGAAGTGCTGCCTAAAAGTACCATATTACCATATGCTACCTGGATTTTGCTACAATTGAACAAAATCTAGCATGAACCATTAAAGAATACAGAAATCCTCAGTGTACCTTCTTACACTCTCCCAGTTTTTCTCTCTTTTAGTTTATTTTCATATGCACCAGGCGAATTGAGGCATAGACATGTCTTATCTCCACAAACTTTTGAATCCTCGGTGTGATAAGATTACCACCTAAAATTGCATATTGGTGAATGATCACGTAGCAAAGACCCAACGGAGTCTCAAGATAACCCGCTCTCCAGACCTGCCAAACAGCCCACCTAGAACAGATGGCAGAATTAACAGAGTTAATCAATGATTTGTTGTGTTTTGAAGCCAACGAAACCAGTGACATGGACAAAGTGACCTTGTTTCCCTCTTTTTTTAACGCTGCTGCTGCTCCTGTTGTCTTCTTTGGACCGGCCTCCCTCTGTGACCCTAGTGTATGTCAGCACCCGCAGTCACAAAAACACTGAGCAGGACCTTTGCTCAAGTGTTTAAAGCCAAATTAAATTATTAAACTTAGTTTTCACTGTGCGTTGCTGAAGTTTATGTTTGGCTATGTCCGTAGGTGCCAGTGTGGGTGCTTCAGTTGGACCATACAACTGGTATCTGGGCATACAACTTCCTGATTGTGATGAGAGTTATTGGGAAATCTGATGTTGAATTAGTACACAACAACTGCTAGTACATTGTTGCACCTCAATTTACAAGGACGATTACACCGTGTTAATTTTGGAAATGGGGTAGTTTGACCTTCTATAAGGTTGTGGATGAAGATGATGCTATTGGCTTTGCACAAGAGTAATTGATGGTAGTAAGTCGAATTACCATACCCCAGCGCTGTGTATACCATATAAACGAGGCTCTACCGGCCTGGGTTTATACAGGGCCTGGAAGCTCATATGGAGTACCACCGACCTAGGAGATGTACGCTCCAGTTCAAGGATAAGGAAACCTTGCGGGCTACATAGGAAAGTGGCCATGTGTTCTACTCGCATCCAGTCTGGACTCCTACCCATAAGCGATGAAGGCATTGACATGAAGGGGGAGATTACCACCATCGAGGAGCTATATAAGGGCGTCCATGATCCCGCAAGAGGGGCCAAGCAATCCAGAGTTCTTGAAACCCTAATGATCATGGTGCATATTGCCTAGACCGACCACCATTGCCCATCGAGTTGCCTATCAACTTGCTGGATCTACTCTTTGTAACCGATATTAGTCTACATTGTACACTTTTCTCATATAATACCATCAAAGGCAGGAGCAGGGCTATAACCCATGCAAGCGGACCCAAACCTGGATATATCATGTTCTAGATCCCCTCGGTGACCTGAGGTGATGTTCCCGTGACTGCATAAATCACATGTGACTACCGTACCGCTGTGAGGTCAACAAATTATCCTCGACAATAATCATCGCTAAATGAATTAAATTGTCCAAACATTATGTATTTGTGTGACATTTGTGTAGCTTCCTGATCTGGATCTTCCATTTATCCTCAGTTCTTTGAGTATCTTTTGCCGCATCATTAAACAACCGTGTCAATGACACTAAATTTGCGAGTCACAGGTGTTGTCACTTACAAGTTTGTACTGCAGGACCTTGGTTCTGGGGAAAGCAAACAGGGTGAAACATGGGAAAGGGTTACTCAAATTCGTGACAAGTTTGAGTATGACAGAGAAAGGAGAATGAGAGAGCGAGGTAAATATCATGTCTTGATGCTGGATTATTTTGTTTATCCTGTCATTATTGATTGGTTGCATAAATTAAAAATTGCATGGTTCTTGTGAAATTTGTTGTGAAATATCAATGGCTGCCCGACACCACAACCCTGCAAATTCTTTTTGCACTGTTAGGTAGTGTTGCATGTAAAGTTTCGTTGGCGTTTCTTTCCTGGAGCTTTTTTATCACGTGTGTTTATTCAGTTGCTCATCTACTGTCTCCCTGTGATGCAGCGTTTGCTCCCATGAATATGGAAAACAATTTTGGCCAGCAGAACTGGAAAAGGCCAGAAGCCAGGACGAATCAGGGTTTCCCTCGACAAACTTAGAAACTAACTCTGGTCCACATGATTGGGCTTTCATAAATCAAACTGGTCGGGGTTTCCAACGTGACCCAAGTCCCTGAGATCAGCACAATTCGGATTTCCAAAAGGAATCAAGTTTCAGAAATCGGCAATATCCAAATTTTCGAAACCAGCTTGATGGAAACAATAAGTGATTTGGTGACCAGAATCAAGTTTTAGCCAGCATGTTGCAATCCTGCGGAGACACTAAAAGGTGGTGCACGATTGCCGAGTCTTTGTGTTCGCTGATTTCACACCTTTGTAATGCTAATTGAATTGAAAATGAGATGAGAGGTGATGGCATGCTTTTTATGTTCGTTGATGTAGTAGCACTACAGTTTATCCTTGTCCGTCAAAATGAGACGAGTGTAACATAAGATACCGCTGCCCTATTTTGCCTTTGCGGTCTTGCCCAGCTCTTATCGTGAGAAGCAGAATGGTTACTCAATGCAGTCCACTAGTTCTATGATGCTTGAGCATTTCATTCACCCTTGATTGTGATAAGAATTGCCATCCTGTGTGCTAGTAAGTATCATGCGACAAGAATTATGGAACGGGGAGGGAGTATGATTTAGTATATACTGTAATTGCTTGACAACTTAAACATCAATTATGTTTTACCGATTCCCCTTAGTTGGATGTTGAACTGTGTTTGTTAGGATGGCCGCATCCAAATATTATCGTGTCAATCTTTTTTTTTGTATCTGTTTTACTAAATGATCTGATCAACCAGGGTATCAGACTGAAGAAACTGAAATACACACGAGAAACAAACATCTCTCATATGAGTGGTGCTATCTTGCAAGTTGCTATCGGTGTTCTGTAGCCGAGTGGTCTAAAGCAGGGAATCGCGCGGTCGTGTAAGGACCATTGGTGAGCATGTTGCTGCGGCAACTTGGGAGGACTGAGAATCCCTGAAGCAAAAAATTCCGAGAGCACCGGGTTGGAGACAAGCCGCTTCTCAACTTGGATGGCGTATCTCGCCTTGGTGGGACACGGACGGTTTTGGTCGTGCTGAGATTGCTGTCGTTCTTCAGGAGATCAAAGAATCAAGTGGGCATTTTCAGAGCTTTAGGGTGTAATTCATATGGCGGCTCATTTATGCGCGAAACACGCGCCTCGTCGTCAACGGGGATGTCTTCTCTGGTAGACTGGGGATATCACAGTCACTCTAACCATCCAACCACATATTGGTTCGCTTTTCTAACGCAGGTTGTATCGTGATTGTATGCCTTATTAAGTACTCCCTCCGTCCGAAAATACTTGTCATCAAAATGGACAAAAGGGGATGTATCTAGAACTAAAATACATCTAGATACATCCCCTTTTATTCATTTTGATGACAAGTAGGACGGAGGGAGCATTAAGGAATTACTCAAAAAAGAAAAAAGAAACCTCGGAGAAGCAACGCATCAAATATCTGCAATCTCCACAGCAAATCTGTGGATAACGAAGGGCCACAGAAAGATGAAAGGCATCTCATATCTCCTCCCCACTATCATCCATCCGTACGAACCAACAGGTCACCGAGCATCTGCCTGCCGCTTGGATGGTGACCGAGTCGGAGAGCTCGCCACGGATAAACAATCGGAGGGGGGTGGATGTCGCGGCACCACGTGATGGCAAAGGGAATGAATATTAACCTAGTTGCATGGAAGCAGTGACAGCCATGGACGGGGAGCTTATTTTGTTATTGCTTCTGGTGAGGAATCCCACGCAACGCAATCCCAGAGGATCGGTGCCAATTGCCAAATGGGGGTGGAGTAACTACCAATCGTGCACACAGAGAACTTCTTTTTTGGGTAATTTTGATTATCATATTCGTAATCTCTGACACGCATGGATCCTCTTGATGCCAGCCCTAACTTGCAAGTTGTGGCTTAAGATAATAATCGGAAAGGGGAGGATTCAAAAGCCCAGTATGCCAACAAGGATGATCAACCCTACCCTAACCTAGCAAGTGTGGAGCGTAATTGGTATTCTAATTGCAGAACATAGCTGCATAGGACGCGGATTGTGAATCTGAACTCGTCAGGGTACATATATATGGCGCCAATGTTGTTGTAAAAAAATCCATTTCATTCTTCTTTTATGCTAAGCATCAGCCAAAGTTACTACATCGGATGAAAAGATACAAGAGAACAGATGCATCACTCGGAGCTCGCCGAGATCCACATCGCGGCCATGCACGCACCGAATTCTCGTGAGAGCCTGCGAGCTATGCTGCTTGGCGATCGATCTAGCAATGCCAGAGCGTGGCATGCCTGCCTGTCATGTCGTCGCCGCCGGACCGGACTGGAGCAAGCGGTCAGGCGTAGAGCGGGCGCTCGGTCCAGGCGCCGGCGACGTGGCCGTTCTCGCAGACGTAGGCGCGCACCACGGGCTCGCCGTCGTCGTGGTACCCGTAGAAGCTGCGGAGGCAGAAGGCGGAGTAGAGGTCCCACGCCTCCGTGCATCCGCAGAAGGCGCAGTCCACGGCCACGGTGGGGCGCCGCGTGTCCCGGAGCGCGCGCCGCACCTGGGAGCGCGCGAAGTCCTGGAACACGCCGCGGAACACCATGTATTTGCGCCGCTCCTCCGCGTGCACGCACCCGGGCCACTCGCAGATGTACAGCCGGTCGCCGCGGAACCGGCTGGCCAGCAGCTTGTTGCCCTGCTCGCGGCTCAGCGTCCAGGACCCCGACGCCAGGTGCGAGCCCACGGGCCCCAGCCACCGCCGCGCCCGCCGACGGGTACCCGACACCACGCCGCGCCGGACGGCATTGGCTGCCGGCGGCGCCTCCTCCTCCTCTGCCGTTGCGGCCGGCGCGGGCGCGGCGGCGATCTGCGTCTCGGAGCAGTCGTAGGCCGCGTCCAGGTACAGGTCATCGTAGAGGGACCACGCGGCGGCGTCCGTGGCGGCCAGCGTGCCGTCGCTGGGTCTCGGCTCGGCCTGCGCGGCGGCCTTGGGCGGCTGGAGCGAGGAGGTGGCCGTGGGCTCGAGGGATGAGGAGGAGGATGACGAGGAGGCCGGGACGGTGAGGTCGGGGCCGATGTCGAGCTCGAGGCCGAAGTCGTCGGAGGGCTCGAGGAGGATCCCGGCGCGGAGGAGGCCGGGGCAGCAGACGGACATCTTGTGGAGCGCGGCCCACGCGGCGGGCGCCCCGTCCGCGGGGAGCAGCTCGGCGGGGAGCGCCCGGGAGAGGCGCGGCGGGAAGCAGGCGGCCCGGAGGAGCGCGGCGAGGCGCGGGGACGCGCAGGACGCGCGCGCCCAGTCGCGCGGGTCCCCCTCGAGGCGTCCGAGGATCTGCAGCAGCACGTCGTCCGCCAGCGCCGACAGCGGCTCCACCTCCTCCGCCGCCGCAGCAGCCTCCTTGCCGTCCCTCCGCCTCTTGGCGACGACGACGGCGATCTCCCCCTGCTGCTGCTGCTCCGCGCCGCTCATGGCTGCGGCCCGCGTCGCGCTCCTGCTTTCTTGGCGAGCGAGTGGCTGCGCTGCTGACCGTTCGGCCGTTCGGTTGCGAGGCTGGTTTAACTTTCGGGTTGTGTTGGGTCCGTTTTTCTGTGGTGGTGGCCTGGGCTGGGGGCTGGGGGCTGCGGGAGACGGATGAGATGATGCTTTTCTTGTCGTTACAAAACTCTTGCCTGCAATCCCAACGTGTGGATGGAGGCTGCGCGGGTGTGCCGAACGATGAGCGGTCACTCTCGGCCCCCGTGTGTCAACCTCCACGATTATTTTATTCGATTGAAACGAGGGGCTCAACATTCTTCCAACAGAGCATTGTCTCTCACTCCTCCCAGTCCCAGGAACACCATGCATGCAGGCACAACACAACTCCATCACACCCACACACTTGACCGGCTGCTAGAAAAAACAAACTCACCTCCTGCTAAAAAAAGGACCAGCCCTCATAAGGCCATGTGCAGCGTCGGGTGCTTATGCATATCGGTGTTTAAAGGGAGAGAACACAATTACAGTACATCTCAAAAATATTGTCACACGGATAAACATTTATCTCAAAGGGTACCCAGCGTGCGCTTCACATAAGATACATTGTAGACAAGATTTTTAATAAATACAGATATAATGACACACGCTATTACAATCACATAGGTGCACGATATCTCAAACCATAATCCTAGACCTATGGGCGGTCTACGCTCGTTTTACAAAAGCTTCCAAATAATTCTCTCCTCCCTGTTTCGAGAATACCCCCTCCCCCCCCTCTAATTTCGAAGGGGTGGGGCCCCTCCCTCCTCCTTAGCTTCAATCCTAATATTTCATCTAACCAAGTCCGTTAAATCCGTAATTGTTTTTCTGTAGCTCTAGCATTACTTCAAAATATTACTACAATCACCCTAGCAGATTGACACATGCTAGGTTGATAAAAAGGCAACAACAAACAACACAAAAGAGAAATATAATGTTATGAGTTGTGCAAACACGGATTAGAAGACCACTCTCACTCCTAGGAGAGAAGAACATATAGTAATATAATTACATCTCAAAATAAATGTACCTACCATGTGCTTCACACGGGTTCTTAGATACTGTTCAATTGTAGTATCTGTGAAATCAGGATAACATTTATCTCTCATAAGCACCGGCTAGCATTGGAAGCCAAAGTTTGCTTCTACACCCCCCCAACCCGATTACTCGTGCAAACCTATGTCATAAATAAAACCATTATCTTCTTATTGAGGCACCCGTTTTAGCACCTACATTATACAAGGTCTAAGACACACATTGTGATAAACATGAGGTTTGATCCTGGGTTGAAACGACAACCATTCTCTTTAACGTCCAATCAAAGCTTGATTCTCTCGGGTCTAACAGAGCCTTGTCCGATCCTAACTACAAATGTCAATGTTATGAGTACTTCATGAATAGGGTGGAAGCATAGTTTAAAAACCGAACCGGCGACTGAACACGTGAGGCTGTCGGTTCAGGTTTTTATTGGTCGGACCGCCGGGTCATTGATTCATTGGTGACAAAAATAGAGCACTTAAGATAAATTTTCCAAATTTTTAACCTCACATTATATGAATACACGGAATATTAGTTGTAAACCATTAATAAACCACAAAGTATTGTTAGCCTAATTGGTTAATTAGCCTTGAGTGTTTGATCCCTAGTTTATGCACCATTTTTAGAATATTTCTCCCTATTTTTTACTAAAAGACCAATACACCTTAAAAACAAGACAAGGCGTTGGTTCTTTTTAAAACTATGGATGGAAGCCAATTTATCATAGACTTAGATCTTTAGAGGATTTAAAACCTTCAAATGTATATGTTGTGTGTTTCATACTATATTTTTATGAATAGTTTGCACTCCTTCTCCTTTTTTCCGTGAATAAGCAAAACTTGCGTATCATTTCATTGATAGAAGAAAGGAGAATGAGTACAATAAAGGGTACAACACATGACATGAACGCAAGAAGGCATGAGCATGGTGTCTTGAGCAGAGAGACACGGGGTGCTTAGCCCAAACAGGGTGAAGGACACAACTGAACCCACCAAACCCAAAACTAGAGGAGCACACCAAATCAGTAGGACGTTGAACATCTTCAAATCCAACACCAGGACACCACGAGCTACCAAGATCAAGAAGGGGAATGATGTCGTGACATCACCGCCATCTAGTCCAGAGAACCGGACCTAGGGTTTCCTCTGATGCTCGAAGGAGGGCATGGATAGAGGCCATGGCAGCGCCTCCAAGAAGGGAAACGACACCCACGAGTGTCATCGCTGCCAGCATCGGCAAGCCGAGCATGGATTTCTCCTGGCCTAAGTCTGAGCAATCCCAAAGCCGCCAAATCAGGATCCAAAGATGCTAGAGACAACCTGCTTGTCGGCCGCTACCTCAAATGGGATGGGGCTGCACCTGTCGCCGACGAAAAACGCAAACTTTGGAACCAACATGGTGTGTAGGTAGATGGGGTTGGAGAGGCAGTGGTGTAGAGAGCTGCCGCGGATGGAAGGATGGCAGTCAGAGCAATCCAGAGCCGAAAGGGAACACATATCCGTGCCGCTAGAGGCGAAGCCACCAGAATGCCGACGAACCAAATTTGGAAGGGGCGCAACTGTCGGCGCGTCGGGGTTGAAACCACGCTGGTAGAGGATCTCGACAGACCAATGACATTGGAGAACGCAAGCCCATGGAGGCTGGGACCGACGCGGTGTCGACAAAATCCACCGCAAAGCTTCAACAACCTGCCAGAGGATTACCATCACCACACACACAGAGGCCGACATCGTAGCTCGGAGGAGACGCTGTCGGGGACAAAGGATGGCCTGCACGTTGGCAGGACCGAGCTGTGGCCACCTCCCCCAAGGGTCACGCCCGCCCCAATGGACATTAGCAAGAAGAGGGGTTGCACCACGGGGGGCAAGACGCGAATGGGAGGAAGGATCACCACGGATGCGGCCGTGCCGCCGAGTAGGACCAATGGGACGCGGTGCAGCAGTTAGACGAGGAAGTGGCCGCGGCGCGCCAGATCTGATCTGGGGCCGTGGGTAGGGAGGGTCTCCAGCGCGAGCACCCATGGGGGTCCGCTCCACCGCAGCCATCCTCAGGCACGGCGCAGCCGCACGGTGATGACCCACAAGTATAGGGGATCAATCGTAGCCCTTTCGATAAGTAAGAGTGTCGAACCCAACAAGGAGCACAAGGAAATGACAAGTGGTTTTCAGCAAGGTATTTTTTTGCAAGCACTGAAATAGTCGGTAACACGTAGTTTGATAGCAAGATAATTTGTAACAGACAAGTAACGGTAACGGTAAATAAAGTGCAGCAAGGTAGCCCAATCCTTTTGTGGCAAAGGACATGCCAAAATGGTTTCTTATAATAGGCAAAGCATTCTTGCTGGCACATGAGAATTTCATCTAGTCACTTTCATCATGTTGGTTTGATTTGCGTTCGCTACTTTGATAATTTGATATGTGGGTGGACCGGTGCTTGGGTGTTGTTCTTACTTGAACAAACCTCCCACTTATGATTAACCCCCTTGCAAGCATCCGCAACTACGAGAAAAGTATTAAGATAAAATCTAACCATAGCATTAAACATTTGGATCCAAAACGATCCCTTACAAAGTAGCGAAACTAAGGTTTAACCTTCTGTCACTCTAGCAACCCATCATCTAATAACTACTCCACAATGCATTCCCTTAGGCCCAAATATGGTGAAGTGCCATGTAGTCGACGTTCACGTGACACCACTAAGGGAATCACAACATACATATCATCAAAATATCAAACACATATCAAATTCACATGATTACTTGCAACGTGATTTCTCCCGTGGTCTCAAGAACTAAAGTAAGTACTCACAAATGATATTCATGCTCAAGATCAGAGGGATATTAAATAGCATAATGGATCTGAACATATAATGTTCCACCAAATAAACTATATAGTAATCAACTACAAGATGTAATCAACACTACTAGTCACCCACACATACCAATCCGAGGTTCCGGTACAAAGATTGAACACAAGAGATGAACTAGGGTTTGAGAAGAAATGGTGCTATTGAAGATGTCGATGGAGATTGGCCTCCCAAAGATGAGAGAGTTGTTGGTGATGACGATGGCTTCGATTTCCCCCTCCGGGAGGGAAGTTCCCCCGGCGGAACCGCTCTGTCGGAGGGCAAAAGTGCTCCTGCCCAAGTTCTGCCTCAAGATGGAGGTGCTCCGTCCCGAAAGTCCTCCCCTTACTTTTCTAGGTCAAAATGACTTATATACCAGAAGATGGGCACCAGAGGTGGGCTGGGCTGACCACTACCCACCAGGACGCGCTTGGGGGGCCTGGCGCGCCCTGGTGTCTTGTGGTCATTAGGTGGCCCCCCTCCGGTAGTTATTGCTCCAGTATTTTTCATATATTCCAAAATAATTCTCCATGAAGTTTCAGCTTATTTGGAGTTATGTAGAATAGGTAACTCTGACATAGCTTTTCTAGGTCCAGAATTCCAGCTCCCGGCATTCTCCCTCTTTGTGTAAACCTTGCATAGTATGAGATAAAAGACATTAGAATTACTCCATAAAGCATTATTATGCATAAAAACATTATAAATAACAGTAGGAAATCATGATGCAAAATGGACGTATCAACTACCCCAAGCTTAGATCTCGCTTGTCCTCAAGCAAAAACCGATAAAAAAAACATGCCCACATGCTTAGAGAGAGAGAGGTGTCGATAAAAATAAAATACGGACATAGTAACATCATGCTTATTATCATAACATGATGTAGGGCAAACCCCCAGTTGGACGATCTTTCACGTTTGGAGAGGATCCTACGGAGAATCACGAAGAACACGCGGAAGCACAAAGGGGAAAACACGGGGGAAAACGAGAGAGAATCACGAAACCGACATAGAATCAATCACACGAGTGCTAGATCACCGAACACCAAGAGATACACATGATCCACAATCAACAAT